ATAGAAAAAAACTTTTATTTATAAAAGTTGAATTTTAACGGATTTTAAATAGACTTTACGTAAACAGATCTTAATTAATTGAAATATCAAATTTAATGTCAGATATTGAATAAATATAAAAGCATTTTTAATATATTATTTTTAAATAAATACAAAATCTTGTTTTATAAAATATAAAAAATAGTAAATTTAAAATAAAAAATAAATGTGACATAATTGTATAAATCTATTTTTTAATATGTAAAAGTTGTCACCTATAATATCTGTTATACTCACAATTTGATCAATTTTTACAATCAATTATTTGATATCACATTAAAAATATTTATTACAAATATCTTGAAAAGTAATTTATACTATTTGAATAATTTGTAGAAAAATTATATGGACAATCATATTTTGTGTTTCAAATAACAATAAACAAGTTTTATAAGAGAGCAAGATGCCCGGAATGCCTATAACCTCGCGACACTACTTTCTGACAACGCAGTATCTGTTCGCCAAACCCCTTCTTATCTGTCTCTATTATTGTAATACCGATCCTGCGACGGCGCGCAATATTATTTTCATGAGTCAATCTATAAGATAAGCTGCAATTTTTGTCACGCAATGGGGTAAATAACATTTCTACAACGTAAAAGACAAGGTGGATGTACTTTGAAAGATATTCATCAATATAGAACCCCAAGCGTAAGTTGCCCTTATGAAAAATTCATGTAAGTTACTTATTATACATTGATCAAAAAAGTGTTTTTTATTTATGACTGTCGCTATCACTGTTTGACATGTCATCACTATGTTTTATATATTGATTCCTTTTTTCCTAATTGTCGGCAGGACATAAACGTCGAGAAAAAAGTGAATCGTAGAAGTTAATAGCAACAGCTTTTACAATACCAATAAGTCAAGCTTTTTTTATCATGATAGTGACCTTTGCTGATTTGATACAAAGAAAAAGTGAGTTTTAATATGTTTAATATTGATTATAATAATACTTAATTTATTTAATAATAATAATGTTTATTTAGTAACAATGTTTAACTTAAACGATAACTATTAAATATAAAAATATTATATAATTTCATTTATAAAGTTTTTTAACATTTTCTAACTGTTTGCATTATCTTGTTTTAAAAATTTTTACTTTCTTTTTTTTAGTTTTCTTTTCTTTAGTTTTTCTTTCTTTCATAAATTATTTATATTCTGCTTAAAATAAACTTACAAATAATATTTCTTTATGACTCGTACATAATATATTATTTCATGATAATCTATGTGATAAAACTATGTAATATATTGCAATTACGTTGCAGTAATATAAAGAAAAAATATATAAATATATCTTTTATAATTAATTAATACAAATAATTTAATTTTTATTTTAATAAATTAATATATTACTTACTATACTAGATATTATAAATTACTTTGTTGTTGCTTTTTTATATAATTAATAAATATATATTTAATTTCATTATTTTATATTTTATTTTTATATTTCATATTTTATTTTTTACTGTAAAAAAAGAATTCCTTATATAATACTTAATGAATCAAGAATTATATTCATCTATATGAAATTCTAATATCAGATAATTCTATGAATAATATATTTGA